TTTTTTTTTTTTCTCGAGCGGTCAAAAGTGCGAAAATAGGAAGATTTCAAAATATGGCCGAGCGACAGGGGAGACTGGGCTAGGCGTAGCTCAGTTGATGCACAGCCTTCAAAGCACTGCTAACTCGACCCAATTTTTACCTCAACCTTGGAATGCTTAGTTGGAGTTTAACTACAGTCCTATTATATTTTAGCCGAGTGCACAGTGATGGGGATCCCGTCCGTAACGACCAACCTGTCTGGTTTTGGTCGCTTCATGGCCGAGAATGTGACGGACCCAACCTCATACGGGATCTATATCGTAGATAGGAGGTTCAAATCAGCTGAAGAGTCCATTCAAGAGCTATTCAACGTGAGTATGAGAGATAACACTCAGCTGATCTGATAGAATAGTTTATGTATAACGGTGAAAAACTGAAGATACGGACGTGCCGCACCGTGACCGTCACGGTACCGTGTCTGAACATTTTAATTGGCTGAACCGTTACCTCGCCCACTGTGATTGGTTCAAAGATTGTAATCAGTTCCTTGCGGTAAGGTAACCGTTGCGGTACCATTTCCGGGCATTTCTATTGGCTGATCAGTGATCTCATGCTCTGTGATTGGTTCGAAGAATGTGATCAGTTCCGTGTTGTGCGGTTACCGTGACGGTAGCATTTCCGGGCATTTTTATTGGTTGATCAGTGATCTCATGCTCTGTGATTGGTTCAAAGAATGTGATCAGTTCCGTGTTGTGCGGTTACCGTGACGGAACCATTTCCGGGCATTTCTATTGGCTGATCAGTGATCTCATGCTCTGTGATTGGTTCAAAGAATGTGATCAGTTCCGTGTTGTGCGGTAACCGTGACGGTACCATTTCCGGGCATTTCTATTGGCTGATCAATGATCTCATGTTCTGTGATTGGTCCAAATGATGTAATCAATTCCGCACCGTGCCGTGCGTTACCGTTTGCTCAGCAGTAATTCCACACACTGTTATTAGCGTCACTGGTGTCATACGAAATATACCCTGTAATATATCAACCCATGAAAAAGAATGTACGTAATACGTTCAGATGTATTGCGTTCAAAGTTGTTTTTACACGCACTGCACTGGGTGCTCTCACTCCAGTGTCCAAAAAGCTCGCGGCCGGAGCAGCACTGCAGCGAGAGAGCCTCTGATTTTATGTGTGGACAACTAAAACTGATTCAAAAAATGGATTTGATCTGGGGAAAAGCCATGTCAAACAAAACGAAAGATACGATATTTTAAAAATCTGTTTTTATATTTTGTCGTAGTATATGGTCAGCTTTTGCAGCCTCACACGAAGACAAAGAATTATTCAACGAAATCGAACCGAAAGGTTAAGTGAACTGCTTGACTGGAAAAGTCTGTTTAAGGTGAGTGGATAGAGGTGCAAATAAGGTGAGTGGATAGAGGTGCAAATATGATTTGTTTTGTATTTTTCTATGAATTGTCTGTCCTTCCTCCCTCCCTCCCTTAATTTCATTAATTTTTTTTTCTTTTATCCCTGTTTCACGTTTTTTCTATTCCAGTATTATGCTCGTGCCCGTCTTCTTAGCCTTCATCGTCTCAATCCTGACAAATACCGCAAGCCAAGGTTGTTTGACGAGCTTGTAAGTAACCATACCCGAACTGGTACTTGAATCTTGTTCAGGACACATAAGCTTGATGCCATGCATTCGTCTGGATTCGTTATTATCGAAGGCGTCTTCATTACCACAACATTGTCGCAAAGAATGTCATTATCATCATCACTACACAACATCGTTATCACAAGTATCATCATAACCGTTATCACCATCATCATCATCATCATAGTCACCATTACCATCATCATTATCATTGTCATTATCCCCATTATCACCATCATCATTACCATCATCATCATCATCGTCACCATTACCATCATTATCATTGTCATTATCCCCATTACCATCATCATCATTACCAAGATCATTATCATCACCATCATCACCATCATTGCCTTCGTCACCACCATCTTCATCATCATCATCATCGCCATCCACATAATTATCATCATCAACAGCATCATCATCATCATCACCATCATCATCATTACCAAGATCATTATCATCACCATCATCATCATCATTGCCTTCGTC